TTGAACCTGACCACACTGCGGCTAGCTCTGGGGAAGGGGAAAAGGGGATGCAAGGTCACGCCGGCCAGTGATGGAGTTTGAAGCCCACCGGTCTGCCTCCCAGTCTGTGCTTTTAGCCACTACCCTTAGTTTACACAGCAGAGCTTCTCCTTCTCTTGTAAGAGACTGAGAGTCCCCCCGGAAAGGGGCTCCTTTGGCTCTGATTCCACTCCATGCTGACCCAGCCTGCCCACCCTTGCCCGCTGTGGCCGGACTCTGGTGCAGTAATGCATCCCCAGCAGGTGTGAACCTGACAAAGCCAAGAGAACGCAACCTCTGGGCTCTGGTCTGAAAACTCAGCGCGTGGGGACCCAGGGCGGCCAACCCAGCGGGAGCTGCTCGCGGGGACCAGGCTTGGGGACCAGGGTGCCCTCCTGCCGGCTACACTGGAGGACCCCTCGTGCCGGGCAGAACCCTTGAGGAGTGCTTGATCGCTTCGGGGCTTGCAACTCATTGCAGTCAGAGTCGAGTGGCAAGAATTTCAGGGTGCGTCGTCATGAGTCTCTTCCCAAGACTTACACCACTCTTAAGTCTTTCTAAGAAACAAACACGTGTGAGATCTTAAGAGTTTTTGTACTGAAAAGTTAAAGGCTTCCTCTTTTACCGCTCACATAACTTGTATTTCAAAATGACAGAAACCTGTCTGGCTCACCATACATCCTTCCTATTCCATTCTCTGCTGGGGTTCATTACGTCTGTGCGGGCTTGCTGCTGGGCCCAGGGGAGAAGGAAAGCCAGGGCGGGAGGCAGGCCTGTTGCGTAGGGGGCGGGGGTGTCCCCCTCCTCCAGGACAGGTTTCCCCTGTTCCGACGCAGCCATCCTTGGCCAGAGATGAGCGGTGTCCACCACATCCTGAGACACGTCATGCCCACCAAACTGCCCACCTCTCTCTAGGGGCAGCCTGGGCAGCACCGCACCCAAGCCCAGCTAGGGGCTGGTCAGGCTTATTGGGATCGAGGAATAGAATCAAGGGTGCATTTCCTCCCCTTGGATGCTTTCTTTGCTGGAGCTGCCTTCCTGAGTCCTCCATCCTGGGACCCGAGCGGCAGGCTCTGCAGCTTGCCTCCCTTGAGCAGACAGAGAGACAGGCAGATGCCCCTGTCATGCTCTGAGAAAAGCGGCAATAAAAAGCAGTCTGGTATGAGCCTTTCCTGTCTTATCTACTCTGAAAACTTGCAAGCATCTCAGAATACTTGGAAAGGCAATATAGTATCATCCTGTTTGAAAAAAAAAAATGGATTTAAAAATAAAAACCCCATAGAAGAGACATAAACCATTTTGTCAATTTTTCTGATCCAGCCAAAGCCATAGATAGAAGACTTGGACACCCTCTGACTTCTTAATCCACAGGCGGCTCCTCCAGACCCCTGCTCCCTCCCCACTGGCCCTCACCTTGCCTATGCTGGGGCTCTAGGGGGCCGCCGCTCCCAGGACAAAAGCTCACAGCCCCATTTCTCCAGATGCATAGGGAGTGAGGAGTGCAGACGCCAGGGTCCCTGAGGAGGGGGCCACGAGCACCTGCTGTGTCTTCCAGAAAAGAAATGTACCTGCTTCTCACCCTACCCCATAAAACACTGGTCGCTGCAATTAAATTCAGCCCTGCTCACCCCACCCCTGATACACAGGCAGTAGGCACGTATGGGGGTCAAGGGGAGGCATTTGGGCTCAGCTGGAAGACAAGGACACCAAACCTGTCAGAGCTTTTGAGCAGGGCAGGGCTCGCTTCTGGTAAGAGAGCCAAAATGAGTGTTTGCTTCAAGCCATAATAATGACAACAGCAAGGACGATGGGAGCTACCTTCAGAGTATGCCAAGGCCAGTGGGCTCCAGCTGCCCATTTCATCCTCACACCAGCCTCTCGAGGTGGGTTGATTATTCCCGGCGTGCTCTGGAGGAAGCTGAGGCTCAGAGTGGTTCCACGTGTGATGCGAGGTCCCATCGTCGGTACCAGAGCCAAAATTCTAGCCTAGTTCTAACTGCCCCACCTCCACCCTGCCAGCCCTGGTGTTGGGACACGGGGACATCGGTTTACTCATGTTCTCCTGACGCTGGAGCTACATCTGTCATGGCTGGAAGAAATTCAAGTCGCTTCAGATGAAAAAAAAAAAAAAAGTCCCCAATTCTTCAATTTTTAGAGGCTCTGCACAGTCAAGAAGGAATTGTGAGACAAATGGCCCAGTGGGGCCCATGGCCACACCCAGTGGGTGACCTTCAAGTGTGGGACCCAGGAGTGGCTTCTGTCCCTCCTTGGCCAGAGCCCTGCTCCTGCCATCCCCCCCTTCCCCTTGTTCTTTCCAGTCCATACTGGTACATCCGCCCAAGACTCCAGTTTGCCTCTTGAGGGACATCACCAGCCCTTTGTGGTCAGAGGTAGGATGTTCAAGGGTCTTCTGGGCCTTCCAAGAGCTGGAGTGAGGTGGTTCTCGCTGGCCATCTCCGCCTCCTGGTCCGCGACTGGCTCCCTCCTCTTCCCTGCGCACTCAACGCTTGCATTGCTCACATAGCTGTGAGGATCATTTCACCAGAAAACCGGAAACCGTCAGGCGAGGAGTGGGGCTCACAGCACCCGGATGTCGGACGGGTCACATTTCTTCTCCTCTGTATGCTCCGCTGCGTTTCCTTGAATGCAAGTCTCCCTGTGCCTAGAAGCGGATGGGATATGGAAGCAGCATCCTCCCGGCCACAGGAATCACCTGAGCCTGACGTCGCTGGTTTTCTGCCCTTCTGCTCTCCCCCCGCAACCCCAGTCCAGAAAGGATAGGTGGGAGTGAAGCCCGAGGCTGTTGCAGGGGAGAGGCGGGAAGGCAGCCCTGCAGGGGTGGTAGGCGGGTGCCCAGATGCCCCCCGTGAGCCGCCCTCAGAGGCTACTGCTCTGGAGGAAATGGCAGGGGATGGTGGCTGGGCTCATTCAAAGCGTGAAGAGGCTCGAATCCCACAGAGACGCCAGAGAGGAGCGGTGGCCGAGCGCGGCGGCGGCTGAGGCGGTCAGGCGGGCCTGGCGCAGCGTCGGGAACAGCGGGACACCGAACAGTCCCGGGGCGCAGCCGAGACGCGGGGGACCGGGGGAGCCACGCGTCAGAGAGCCAGGCCTTGGGCTGCGTCGACATGTGTCTCAGAAAGGCTGAGAAGAGCATTCTGTAGACGTTGAGGTGCTAGATTTTGTACAGGAAACATGTCCACAATTTGGACTAGTTTGTACTTAGTTCCTTTTTAGTTTCCTGATAGGCAAACTGTGGCCCACTGCCCTTCCTGTAAACCGGGTTTTATTAGGATACGTCCCTGCTCACACGTCTCTGTATCATCTCTGGCTGTTTTCATGCTACGGTGGCCAAGCTGAGCAGGGGGACGGAAAGCCTAAGATACTTACTATCAGGCCGTCCACAGAACGAGTTTACCGACTCCTGCTTTAAACTGTGCTTTTGTTGTTGTGAACCATTTACTCCTAAAGAGATAGCAGACAGATCAAGTCATATTTCATGTGCAAAACACCTGTTGAAGACACAGGCCCACTTTTCGGATGTGGAAGTTGTGTTCGGTGTGTAATCAGCCGTGGTCCCAAGCACGTCTTCTACAGGTGACTGCCCGAGGTGCCATCTTCGCTGGTGTGGGGCTGGGAGGTGGGGAGGTCAAAGCCACCCGGAGAGGAAGTGCCCTCCATCCTCAGGATCAAGGAAGGAGCCTCTGCGGCAGCTGGTCTTCGGGCACAGGTACACTAGCATTTTCTAGGTAATTGGATATTGACATGAGCTATATTTCCGTGACTCGTGTTTGGGTGATATAAATCCTGTTTCAAAGAGAGGATGGAAGACTCCATCCAGAGACTGTTTTTCTCCAGAATGCATCTCTGGTTCACGGCCTGGCTGGGAGGAGGAGCTTGAGCAGCTCCAGCCATGGCTTCATCTGCCCCCCCGTACCAGTCACTGGCAGGGGAGCAAATCCATCTTTAACTAAGCAGAAGCAGCAGGAGCATCTTAGTTCATTCTGGAGAAATTCGGTCAGACACGTCCGTGTATTTTGGTGATCTGCATGGTTTATCGACATGCAGAGAGGTACAAAGTTCATCTAATGATCTTGCAGTTTCTTCAGTCTAGATGCTACTCAATAAATTTTCTGCTCACTACATTCTTTGTTGGCTTTGGAACAGGCTGATGCATTGTGGTGTTGGTAAAGAAAACTGCGCTTAAAATGTTAGAAAAACAGGAGGGTTAGGGTATTTTTCACAAGATCAGGTAAGATTTCAAAAAACCCCGAAATAATCATCATTTTCATCTCTAACTCTGAACAAGAATATGCACTGCTCATAAAAGTGTGGACAATTTTGGTCTAGAATCTAGGCTGCTAAGACCACTTGGTCCCAAGGGTCTGACCATGGCGGGCCAGAAATCTTTTGGCACAAGAGCATCAAACAAGCCTCTCTCTCTCTCTCTCTCTCTTACTGTCAGCCCTCAAGTCTGGATGACAGAAGAGGCAGCCGTCCCCGGTCCATGGTCCGATCCTTCACGATGCCGTCTTCATCCCGGCCTCTGTCGGTGGCCTCCGTGTCTTCCCTATCATCGGACAGCACCCCTTCCAGGCCAGGCTCTGATGGGTGAGTCCGGCTCAGCAGCGAGGAAGGGGTTTAGAGGGTCCTGTGAGGAGCCCCCAGGACCCTGGGTTTGTTTGATCACAACAGAGGATTTTTCTTAAAATCGAAACTGTCTTTGAAACTGAAACCCTCCAAGACTTTGCAACTCTAGTGCCCAGGATGACTTTCAGGGTCTTGTGAGTTTTTGAGAAAAAATTCTTTGGGTAAGGTTTCCATCAGATTTTAAAACCTCCAGTGAGTGTTGATTCAGTTCTGTTCTGGAAGTTCTGGAAGGAGTGTATGTAATACATTGCTTGCTGGCTGTGTGCTTGTACTTTTCATCTCCTGCTCACTACCTTGGTGTCAACGAGCACAGAACTGTCTCACACTGTCAGGCTTGAGGGCTGGTAAGGCCACCTTCTTTCTACAAGACTTCTCTGGAGACCCCGGTTTTGCTGCTGAGCACTCAACAGCACAAAGTGACCTTAGAGCGAAGCAAGAAGCTAATAGACTAGTTAATTTTGGTGGAGTTCCCACTGTGTCTCTTGCATTAACTTTGAGTGTTAAAAAATATCAGTAATTTTTTTGTGTCTTTGAGTAGCAAATATGTAAAGTTTGTTCTTATTAAATAGAAAGGAAAAATGTGTCATGCAGTTAAAACCCCAGAGACCAACTGCTAATTATTTTACTGTGGAGTTTGCACAGTGGTGTGTTTGTGCAGCCCCCTTGGGTTTCCCATCCATTGCTTTACCAAACCCACAGGCTTCCGGTCCCCGCCACACGCAGATACGCGCTTCCAGAGCGCCCCAAGGAACAGCTCAAATCTAAGCGCCCTTTGTTGCCGATGACCGGTGTGCCCAGTGGAGGATTGAAAACTAAACCCACATTTTTTTTTCTTAACAGTCATATTTATCATAGTCTGCTACTTATAAAGCCAAATCCATATGGAAATTCTCAATTTAAAGGAATTTAAATCATGTGTGCTTGTCACTTAGAGCAAGATTGCTAAAGAAATATAATTCAACTTTTCCCCAGGAAAATCCCCAAGCTAGTTATGAAAAGGTTTTTACATTTCCAAGAACGTAGGGGTGAGGGTGGAAATTGATCTAGAGGTCTTAGATAGAGGTGTGGTGTATCACACGCGTGAACACACGCCTCCTTCTCCCAGGAGGCATTGTTTAACCTTGAACTGGGAGGCATCTTTATTAGACTCCAGATTTTTGTTCATTCTAGGGTTACCACCCTTAGCTGTGTAATTAATGTGGAGAAAATGAGACTTTGGTCCCAAATGGCACAGGTTACATGCAGAATAAAAGTTCATCTTGTCAGCAGGTGCTTCTCATAATGTGAAAAATTTTAAATGTAACCTGTCTTTCTCTTGGCTCTTTGTGTACTCATTGAGATATTTATAGGTGTTCCCCCTGAGCTGAAAGTTGTCCATCGATCTTATTTTTTCTCCCTACGTTAATTGTCTCAAGTTATACAAAACCTAGAATAAAATCTTGAGGATTATTTTATTTTTATTGACTATATTCCCTATGCTGTACTTCTCATTCCTGTGCCTTATTTATTTTATAACTGGAAGTTTATAAAGTTTTTAAGATATCTTCATACCATTATCCATGTTGGCCCTCCCTCCTAACTCCTTCCTACTGCAGAGGATGTAACTCCAACCTTAGAACTGAGTCATTTCTTCTCTCTCCTGATTTGACTTACTAGGACAGAAACAGGATGGGACCCCCCACCACCACCACCGCCCCAGTCTTGTGTTAAAACAGCAAACCACAATTGCACGTAGATGTGTTTGCATAGTCAGCTTTGACACGTGCCTTAGAAGCTAATCCAAGATCCACTTACTCCATAGACTAACCATTAACATGGTTTTATGCCAGCCAGTTGGTATTAGTAGACACAAGAGCGGTGGTGTCCTCCTTTCGTCTTGAGACTGGGCATGTCCAGCCCACAGGGATTAGGGCATGTGGAGACTCCCCAGTAGGTGGCAGAGTCAAAACCCGGGTCTTCCAGCTCAGTGCTCAGTGCTGAAAAACTCAGGGCCTCTCCATGTACCTATGAGCTGGAATCGGCTTGCTTCTCATGGAGTCATCCAAAAGGCTTTCAAATTGAAGCAGCCGACATATCTGTAATCTTGAGCTGGCTGTAGGAACTTGGTCAGAATCAAGATAACAGAAATTTCTTTGCATTGGCATCTGCCTATTTCTTCTTCTTGCATTTGTGAATATTTTAGTATGAATCTCTACAAGGCGAGGGCGCCCCTTTTGAAACATACCCTAAATACCATCCTCCCATCAGAAATCTGAGATAATCTTCTTTATGTCATCGTGTCCTATCCACTCAGACTTCACAACTCCCCCGTCCTCCTATGCGTGTTCTGTTTCTTTCCACTTTGTCTCTGTTTCTTTCCAGTTTGATCCTCTTCGGTCGCAAACAGTCTCTGTTACAGCTGGTTAATATGTATCTTAATTCCCCCTTGGCCTCTCTTTATAAATCATTCCTTTCCTGTAAGCCTGCGCAGTTCCCAGTCAGCACTTAAGATTCCTTGGGAACGGGCTCCCATTTATCTGCCGGGTGAGAAGCAACTGTTCTCCACTTAAGTCATGAGTGATTTAAAGAACCATTTCTTCTAGGTTTGCTCTGGAGCCTCTCCTGCCAAAGAAAATGCACTCCAGGTCCCAGGACAAGCTGGACAAGGATGACCCAGAGAAGGAGAAGAAGGACAAGAAGAAGGAAAAAAGGAACAGCAAACATCAAGAGATATTTGATAAGGAATTTAAACCCACTGACATTTCCGGGCAGCAGTCTGAGGCTGTGATTCTTTCAGAGACGGTAATTCCTCATGGAACCTTCTTCCCCACTCTGCGGTAGCTTCTGGGACCTACCTTTGCTCTGCATTTAGCCAGTGGAGCTGTCAATTGGATTTCACTGAATTTTCTATCCAACAGTCACTTTGCAAATCTGAGGTCTCCCTCGACCCTCTCCTTGTATCACCCAATGCTGTAGGGCATCCGGAGGCTCAGAGTGGAGCTTCCCTTCTCTGGAAGGTGCCTGTCTTAGCATTCATCCCCCGTCCCAAAGGGACTCAGCTGGTTCTAGGCTCTCGGCAGCAATGTAGGACTTGCTTCCAAGACACATCCTGACATCTCAGAAGATGAACAGGAACGCTTCTGTTGTCTGAAAACAGTCCTCCAGGTTGGCTGTCACCTTTGCCTCTCCCCTTCCTGACCCGAAATCTCTAAGCCCCAGGTACTCGCCGAGTTAGAATCTGCTCGGCGGGAGTCCCAAAGCCCCTCCTGCTGGGATCTGCCCGCAGCACGCAGCTCCACGTTGGCCTCCCTGCCTCATCTGCCCCACATTTACTTCTCTGCCATGTTTCAGAAGGACTTTCTGGGATTTAACCTGAACCCGAGCCGCACGCACTTGACCCCGGGACTGCCGTTTCCCGGAGCACACAGCGGTGGTGGAGGCTGAGGTCACGAAGGAGGCATGGGTAGCTTCTCGGGTGAACTTTATTCAGAAAGCGCTGTCTGTGGGCTGGAAATGAAATCAAGGAAAGGCTCTCACAGGCTGTCAGCTTCAAAGGTTAAGTCAGGCCCAGAGCCGCCTCCCCCTAGAAACGATGGGCCCTTGTCTGGACGGTGGCCAGGAACGTGTCTGCCCCGGGCAGGAGCCTCTGGCCTGTCCTGGCTGTGATTGAAGGGTTGCTTGACAAAAGGGCTCATGTGGGACCCCCTTTGAATAAGACACGTTTCTTGGCGTGTTTATATCTCAAAGCCAGAGGGTACGACTCACCCACACTGTGTGCCATTCAGACAGGCAGGCATGTGTTGCTTGGCTATCTAGAGGCAGAAGGCAGATTCGGGAGCCACGACACAGCCTTCAAGAAGGCGAATGCCCTTCTGAGGCCTTAGACACAGCTCTGACTGCAGCCTGAGTGTGGCCAGGGGCGTCAGAGCGCGGTAAGGGGACTGGCCAGGCACTGGGCCTCCTGTAGCTGGAGGAAGAGGTCTCTGATGAACCACCCAGCGTTCTCTGTCCACTGCTCTGGACAGCTGGGGTGACAGTGACCTTCCTGACATAGCCGAGGTCACCGTCTCTGAAGCCCAGGAGAGAGATCATCAGAACATCAGAACTGGGTGGGGGAATTAACAGAAGCACAAGATATTTACCAGGGGCCAGACACGCCACATGTCCTTTCGTGTATTTTCCTTTAAGCTCCCTTTTAAGCTGTTAAAACCGGGGGCCTGAGGGAAGTTGAACCACGTGGCAGAGCTCACGGTTGGTTGTGTGAAAAGAGGTCGAAGGTCGGGCCAGGCACTTGGCCGTCCCACACACGTTCTGTCCCTCCCCGCCGTGGCCCTGTTGGCTCCCAGGGACACTAGCAGAGATGGGCCGAGTTCAGCCAAAGTGGGCCTGAAGTGCCCTCGGCAAGTGCACAGAAACGAACGCTGGGGACCATCCGGCTCGGAGCAGAGGACCCGGCCCCCGGTCAGCCTCTGACGACTCTCAGAATAACTGCAGCCACGGCAGCTCTGGGGACAGACCTCTGGCTGGGGGCAGACTCGCTGTTCTCGGTCCAGCCCAGCTACCTGTCTCTCCCCAGAGGGGCCTCGTCCTCCAGAGGACAGCGGTCAGCGAGGTCTGCAAGGTGTTCCCTAGGCCATCCTCCGTGTGCCCAGGATGAGCCAGGGGCCGCGGGGCAGAGCAGGTGGGCAGGTCGGGGCAGGTTTGCCCGAGAAGCAGCAGCGCCATGCCCCGGGGCAAGGCCAGCACCAACTGGTGGTCCCTGGGCCTGCCGGGCTGGCCTTAGCTTTTCGCCCTGCACCTGGCCCCCGAAGCTTCTGCTGGACAGAGGCTATACCTCTGTCCCTCTGGGGGCTGGGCTCAGCTTCCTGCTTGATTTGGCATCATCAGCAGTCTCATGACCTTTAGCTGAGACTCAGAGCCTGGGGTGGCATGGAGGGTCCTCCAGGGGCGATTTTGCATCGCACCAGGAAAGCATCCTTCGGTTTCCTGAGTCATCAGAACGTGCCTCATGGGCTAGGACTGTCGCCAGTCCCCATGCACATTAGCCCTGTCCAGGCCTCCCCCACGGCAATACTCAGCATACCTTGGCTCACAGAGGCATCGCCCTGATCTCTGCCTGCACGTTCACCTGGAGTTCTCCCTGTGTGCATGTGTCTGTGTCCAGATCCCCCCTTTTTATAAGGACACCAGTCCTACTGGGTTAGGGCCCACCCTAATGGCCTCATCTGCAAAGGAGTGTATTTCCAGGTGAGGTCACGGTCACAGGTACTGAGGGTGAGGACTTCGACCTGTGAGTCGTGGGGGACACAGCTCAGCCATGGCAGAATCTAACTGTGCTCTTTCCTCCACCGTAGATAAGCCCCCTGCGGCCCCAGAGACCGAAGAGCCAGGTGCTCAACGTCACTGGAAGTGAACGACGTTTCTCAGTGTCCCCGTCGTCACCGTCCTCCCAGCCAGCACCCCCTCCGGTCACGCCAAGGGCCAAGCTCAGCTTCAGTTTGCAGTCGAGTGAGTGGAACATTCTCCATGTTGGAATTGGTGACATTGCTCTGTGACTTCCTCGTTGCCCTGAGGCTGTGAGGTTAGGCTCGCCTCCTCACCTTGCCCCAGATGGACTTTCCCCAAGCACCCAGCGTACAGGGAGTCCCCCTCGGGCTTTGACAAATCGGTCTTCCCAAGTTCCCTGGTGGCGGGGGAGAGTGAGGCGTGGGAGGCGCATGGACAGCCTCCCTCTTTGTGTCATAGGATACGAACCACACGAGGGTCTTGGCCCTTCCTGCGTTCAGGAGGAACGTAAAGTGAAGAAACATTTCCAGACTGTTCTGAAGAGCTAAGCACATAACTAGTTTTTCTAGTTTTTCCCAATTTCTAGGGTTGCCGTGACTTATTACCATAAACCTGTAAAACAATAGAGATTTATTTCCTCACCTTTGTGGAGGCCAGAGGCTCAGAGAGAGACTCTGTTCCATGCATTTCTCCTAGCTTCTGGTAGCTTCTGACAATCCTCAGTGTTCCTTGGCTTATAGATGTACCCCTTCAATCTCTGCCTCTCTCTTCATGTGGTCTACCTCCTGAGTCCTCTCCTCTTCTTATAAACACACTGCAATGTCTATTGGCCTTAGGGCCCACTGTAAATCAAGGATGATTTCATCTTGAGATCCTTAACTCATTTCATCTGCAAAGAGCCTATGTTCAAATCAGGTCACAGTCTGGGGTTCTGGGTGGACATGTATTTTGGAGGGACATGATTCAACCCACTACCAGTGGCAATCAGCTTTTCCCCACTAAATCCAGGCCTGCCAGAGAGGAGAGGTCTTGGCAGGAGGAAGGTGGCAGGGAGTGCAGGCGCACCTTCCTCCTCTGGAGGACCCACCTTCCTTCCTCTGCCCTGTGCAGAGGCTCTGGAAGGCACGGACCATTGTCATTTGCACCTGGTTTCCTTCTTGCTGAAAGGGGAGCAGTGGCCATTCTGGGGCCCGTCAGGTGGGGGGTCAGCACTGTAGCCGTGGAGGACCCTAACTGAGGGGGCAGCTTCCCAGCCGCTGGGAAAGAGATGGTCTCTGGGTGTTACATCCTCACATCCTTATACTATTACCCCAGAATCTTTTTCTAAAAATATTTTATTATTTCCTCTAAATATGTTCGGGATGGTAAGAGAGTTTGGAAACGGATAGTGGTGATGGTTGCCCAACACTGTGAACGTAACCAGTGCCACTGATTTATACAATGAATTATGGTTAAAATGGCAAACTCTATGTTCTGTGTTGTTTACCACAACACAGAAAGCAGGCGAGCGAGAAGTCACGAGGGTGTTCATTCCATCGGACTCGTTTTTTTTTTAAAGATTTTATTTATTTATTTGAGAGGGAGAATGAGAGAGAGAGAGAGAGAGAGCATGAGAAGGGGGAGGGTCAGAGGGAGAAGCAGACTCCCTGCCGAGCAGGGAGCCCGATGCAGGACTCGATCCCGGGACTCCAGGATCATGACCTGAGCCGAAGGCAGTCGCTTAACCAACTGAGCCACCCAGGCGCCCGTCCATCGGACTCATTTTCTCTCGATGCCTTGGATTCACTGGCAAGCCTCCCTCAGAAACGCACAACTCCCCCAGGAAGCCTTTCCCCTAATGAAGGAGTTTTCATCCAGTGGGACCCATCAGTAAAAATGTCAATTTTCCTCTAATATAAAGGAAAAACAATTTTTTTTCCTACGAGCCTCCACGAGGGTTGAGAGAGTATCCTGTCTTAATGATTATCCTTCCATTTGAAACTGGCTGTATTTTCAGTTGGCTTTAAAAATCAATTGCACTTCCCCCTTGGCTTCTTTAAAAGTAACAACTACAGTGCCCGTGACTGCTAATAATTTCATTTCGTACCATCGTGAGTTTCCCTGTCGAGAGATTTGAAGGGTGGGTGACTGGCCGGCTCCTGCATCATTAGCTCTCGCTTCGTGCAGCCCTCCCGGTAACAGCCGCAGGACGCTGGCTAAGACTCTGAAAACACGCGGGTAGACAGTCCTTGTGACACCCCGCTGTTTAGATGCCCCCAACACACAGAGGCCTGGGAGGGGCTGGCGGGGGCCCAAGCTTGACGTGGCTATTTGTACAGTGGATTGATGCCCCCTTTAAACTCCCATTTTAGATGTCTTTGTGGCACTTGGTATTCTCGTTCTAGAACATGCCTTTAGGCGAGGATCCGACCCTTCACCTTCTCTACCCCTCCCAGCTCGCCTCTCTTCTCAGTCGACGTGCGTTTCTGCCGCCCCCCTCCCCTGCCTCTCCCAGAGAGAAGGTGAAGCAGCCGCCTGGGCACTCAGTGGGGACATTTGATTCTCAGTTGATCCGGTTTTCCAGGTTTGGAGCTGAACGGCATGACCAGCGTGACTGGGATGGACACAGCCGAGGTCCCGCCCCCCCTGCCTCTCAAAGGCAGCATGGCAGATTATGGGAACTTGGTGGAAAACCAGGATTTGATCAGCTCGCCCACGCCCCCGCCCCCTCCTCCTCACCAGAGGGTAAGTCAGCTGGGAACCTGAAACGTGGGTTTTTAAAATCGTTCCCTCCACAAAATGGAAATCCCTCCTTGCTGATGTTAGCGTGCTTGGTTTGGGCCAGCCCACGTTTGATTTTGACAAAAGAGGTCAAAGCGATAAGAATTCTGTCCACGGGATCTTGGTTCTGTGGCATCCATCCCACTCTGGAAACATTCCTTAAAGATCCAACCCGTCCTTCTTCTGGTTCTCAAGGTTCTCTGTTCTCGGGTGGCCGCAGGCTGAGGTCAGGGTGCACACTTTCGCCCCTAAAAACCAATATAAATCTATGTGCTCGCTCTTTCTTTCTGTGGGTACTTTTTTATGGAGTGTTCTGCAAGGTTATTATCTCCTCTTGTGAGCAGGGCAGAAGAGAGGGGTTTTATTTACAGTACACGTATTCGATTCTTCCTTTTATATAAAAACACACACCAGCAGTGGGACTTCATCTTGGATGCTGAAGGGATGATTGACCTTCTGAGGCCACAGAGCCTTTCAGATCGGCCCTCTGTCCCCAGAGATGCCACGATGGGGGACTGGCCCCGGAGACGGGGCCGCGTTACCCCCTCATGGCTCTGCAGGAGGCTGGAATGGTTCGCTGCAACCACAGAAACGGGAGTCTGACCTTTCCCGCCAACTTTTAACTCCAAGTCAGAAGGAAAGAGGCCCAGGGAGTCGAGTGAGAACATTGATTGGTTGGGCTGTTGTTTTCCTAACAGCTTAGTTAACTGATCACACCTTTGTTTTCATACCTTTATATAATTGGAAAAGCAGGAATGTCCCCCGGGTCTCCCTCCGCCAGTGAACTGAAAGTTCTGAACCTGGAAATATGACCGAATCTGTTTTGTTACAGATCAATGCAGGGGCAGCATTTTCTCATCTCTGATGCTCTTGCTGCATCATTCCAAGCGACTAATGCCACGTGCTGTTGGGTCAGGAAGGAACATGGGCGAGCCTTTGTGAATTCAGTTGGATTAATTACCCAAGTCTCGTTGATTTCCCGCAGCACGAGCACGAGTTCCAATGACAGGCCTGTGGATTAGCGTGTCGTAATCCACTGGAGGCGGTGGCGATTCCAGGGTGCTCCCCTCTGTGCAGGCCCGGGGGGCTGTTGTAGGGTAATGATCGCTCGTCTGCCTCGGGGGGTGATCGATACCTCTGCCACTGTCATTGATCGGCCTCGGCCTTGTGGTCAACCCTGTCTCTGGTTGTCACCACGTTAAGCTGTCATTTCTTTCCAAATGGCTCTTAGAAGCAGTAATCTGACCTATCATTCTGCTTCATCGTGATAAACCCACCATCTTCCTAGCGGGCACGAAGGACGTCTGCAGCGTCGTGCCCGCATCTGGCTGGGTCAGTCTGGCGCGCTCAGACCCACCACTGTGGCTTGCACACGTACGGAAGCCACCATTTTATCACATCTCGAAATAAATGTTCGCTTTTGCCTGTTTTTAACTGTTCTTACCAACCTTGAGAAAACTCAGTCTATTTTTCTACTTCATTTTTTGTAATGTCTCAATGTCATCTCAATGTGCCTCAGTTCAATGTTTCCCTCTTTATTCTCTTCTGCGTCTTAGTATTTCCTTGTCTGCGAATCGGGAGGAAATTTGGTCACCAGAGGAGAGACTGCTGTGTCGCCGTTCTGTCCTTGAAACTTCTTCCCTCACGTTGCGTTACGCGTGAGCCTCCCCCGAGAGGCTGCTACAAGATCCCCCCTCGCTTCGGTGACAGTGTTCCGCCATCTCCCTCCGATTCATTCTACCTGTGGCCCGTCTGCTCATTTATTCATCCATCTGTTCATTTGGTGCTTCATTTATTCACCATGTTCATTCATTCATTCACTCACTCGCTCATTCACTTACTTGTTTGACCCGCGCATATTTACAGAGCGTCTCCTACGGGGCAGGTGTCTGTGATGGTCGTGAGGGTGCTGCCGGCTGTCCTCAGTCACTCCCGCCCTGACAGGGCCCTTAAACAGGGGTTCCTAGCACCTTGGCGATTGTCAAATCATTCGTGGGACTGTAAGGGCAAACGATGGCCCATGGACCAAGTACAGCCTGCTGCCTTTTCTTTTTTTCTTGTCCAGAGAGACAGAGAATGTGTGGGGGTGAGGACAGAGGGAGAGGTAGAGAGAGAATCCCGGGCAGACTCCCCACTGAGCACAGAGCCCAACTCGGGCTCCATCTCATGACCCTGAGATCATGACCTGAGCTGAAATCAAGAGTCAGACGCCTAACTGACTGAGCCACCCAGGCACCCTGACCTGCTACCTTTTTTTGTAAATAGTTTCATTGAGACACAGCTGCGCCCATTCTGTATATCTTGTGACTCCCTCATGAAGAGTTCAGACATCCCCTACTGTTTGCTCATCCCCCCTCATTGCAGTTTTGGAAGAGACTGAATGAAAAACTGCCTTTAAATGAGTCCCTTGGATAGTGGCCACAGGTACCCAGCTGACCCTCTCTCATGCGGCTTTTCCAGTTCCAAGAGCAAAGGGAGGGCTTCTCGCCCACCCCCGGAGAGCCTGTCCAAGGGCCTGTTTGTCCCTGAACAGTTGAGGGACATCTTCAGGGGGCACGAGCCAAGGCCCGTGGATCCTCATCAAGGAGCGCTCAGCTGGGACAGCGCCAGGCCGCCGGGGTGGCCCTGGGTCTGCTCTGCCCCTGTACCCTGGCTCTTCACCATTTAAACTGTCCAGTTCTGAAACCAGTCCATTTCCAGGGGCCCCGGGGATTCAAAGCAGCGGGAATTAAAACCGCCACGCAGAGAGCAGCGCCTTCCCTTCTCAGGGGGCTGTGCAGACGTCTGATGCGCTTTGTGGAAAGCCGCTGATCGGAGATGCCAGAAGGGCCCGTCGCCACCAGCTGCCCAGCCCCAGGTCACGCAGAGAGGCCCAGCCCCCCACGCCCCGGGGGTGCAGAGCATCTTTCCGTGGCTGCCCCATGCCTGCCACTCGGGCCCCCCAGCCGGAGCACATCAGTAACCCGGCACCTGCCTTCTGTCTGTGTTTTCCAGCACGTACCACCTCCGCTGCCCAGCAAAACGCCACCTCCACCCCCCCCAAAGACAGCGCGCAAGCAGACGTCGGTGGACTCGGGCATCGTGCAGTGAAGGCCACAGGCCCGCGTGGAGAGCCCCGCTGCAGCCCTCCCTCTCCCTCTGTGTCTTCTCCCGGGTCTGCTCTCTCCGCGTGGAGCTATTGGACACGCCGTGCAATTGCTTGTCCTGAAAAGGAATTTCTTTCCAGCCGTGGCGTGAGTGGCCTTTCGCACCGGGGAGCAAGGTGGATGTGGGTCTGGAAGGTACTGTTGTGCTTCTCAAAATTGGGGGCTTCTGACTGTGTCTGTCTTGAGAGATCCTAAGTCTTGCCCAGAAGTCCTCCGTTTGTGCCAAATGACACTGAGCAAGGAACGCGGTTGACCGGGGTTTGGCGCAGTAGGAGAGCTGGGGCCGTCACCCGTGAGACCGTGTAGGGAGCGAGTGCTCATCTTCCCCCGACGCCCACCCCCAGCTTCCCCCCGAAGGCTGCAGGTGTGACTTTGTGGTCAAGTGTATCTTCAACCTGTATGGGGCAGTTAAGGTCAAACCTTTCAAGGCAGTTCCTAATTTCCTTTGGTATAATTTAAAATAGGATTATTTCTCAGCTACTGAACAGTTACTAATTTATGGAGTGGAGACACCATTAGAAATACTGGACCAAGTGGGAAAGTAAATACCAGTATAGGAAGATCCCTTTTCTTTCTTTTTAAAAAGAGAAGGCCCATAGCACAGAGATGGCTTTAATTGGGTGACTTCTTTCTGTCCTCATTCTGTACAGAAGTTTGTATATATGATGGTTCTTAGAACTTAAGTTTTAATGTTTTTGGTCCTTCCGTTTATTGTAATAGGCATCTGCAAATGATTCTCGATACGTGTTCTTAATTTTTAACTGCTAGAAGTGTAAAAAAAACACAAATTAAGTTTTGTCGATTTTTTTTTTTTTCTAAGCTCCAAAGTCCTGACAATGTTGGTGGGCGATGATTAAAAAAACAAAACAACTAACTTTGTATAACCTAATATTTTTATTCTGCCATCTATATTTTTTTATCCACTATAATCATGATACTCTTCTGGTAGGCTCAAAAGTTGTTCATTGACAACAAAAAATAAAAAGCCATTTAAAAAGACTCAGTGTCTGAATATTACCGTTTTTATCCCTTGACGTAAAAAAAATGTGTCTGTAAATGCCATTGTTGCTCTTTTTCTTTCAGAAAGAGCTTTATGACCTGAATTTCCGTATGTGTGCATCTTCCTTAATCGCCCCTGTTGTCTCTCACTTGGGGCCCAGATTGACAGCACCTGTGTCCCTCTGTGTCTGCATGTCCTTTACAGGAGGGGCAGAGCAGAGCCCAGCTTGCCGACACTTAACTCCCCTCAGCCCAACCCCGCTGTGTGGCTGCACGTTGTTTCTGCCCCTTGCAGCTGCTGACTTGAGAGCGGGTTTTGTTTAGTGCGATGCGTTATTCGGCATCAGACTCCAGAGCTCTCCGCATCTTAGGTGGCGAGAAACAAAGAAGGCGGTGGGATCCTCTTTTCCACGTAAAGCACACTTGCCTGTTCCTTCCACACATGTCCCTGTGCAACCACTAGGTCGTGCCCCATGGCCCCGTTAACCAGACCTCCGGGAAACCTGCTGCAGAACCCAGGAGACTCTCTCACTCGATCGCTGCCCCTCCCCTGCCCCTCCCCCGCTCCCAGTTTATTCGTCCTTGCTGTAAATATCCAGTCCACCCCCAGGAAATGTGAGAGTCCTGTGAATATAGAATTTTTTCCTTTGTGAATTCTTACTCTTTGACTGAGAGAAATATTCCTCCTCCATTGAGTATATTGGAAACTGCACACCATCCGAGATCCTAAAATAAGTGCATTGGGCATGCTGACCTGGGAGAGGGGAGCACGGGAGAGGCCGGCCCCTGGTGGCAGGTCCTTGTCCGGTAGCCAGCATTGCACACTGCAGAAGCTGTCGCCCCAAATTGTAAAAATAATTCCTGGCCCTACAAAAAAATAGTTCTTTTTCTTCGAGAATGGCATCTGGGTTCCAGTTCTGTCCCCGCACAGCTTCCTCCCAAAAGTCTTCCTGGATAATTCCCAGACTCCACGCTTCAGTGGATACCCCCTCCCCACTAGATGCCCCTCAACTTCTGGGAACCCCACGCTGGTGTCCAGAGCTGGAGAATATGCAGACACAAAATGTCTTCATCTTTTCAATCAAGGGCTGGACTACAAAACTGTACTGAAGAAAGAGCTGAGTCCTGTGTCGAGCGTCTTCTCAGGACACTCCTGGGATGAGGACAAGGGGCACCGCTTGCCAACTAGATGCAATGATACATTTTTTTGCTTAGAAAAAAAAATTTTCTCAACCTCTCTTTCATCATTAACTTCCAAGGAGCCTTTTTAGACATTTTTTCCTAATCTTTTCCCCATCAAGAAATTTTAACAGTACAGATTTACTATGTATGTATTTATGTATGTTATGTATATCTATGCTTTTTACATGAACCAAGTAAGATTTTTTTGTTCCCTAAGCACCGATTTTCACCCCCTTACAGGTAATATTGCCTCCTTGAGAATGCATGCTCTAAAACAGGAATGGTGGAGATCTTATGTTCTGTTTTTGCTTTGGGTGCCAGGAAGCTCAAAGCCAAATTTAGCTCACACATTCAGCTACATTTTGGTTTTATTCTCCTGCCTTGCAAAAAAGTGTTCTCCAGTCTATTACAAATCCATCTTTAGTTAACCTTATTTAACTTTATTTGAGACTACCCAGTTTAATATGTATTTTCCTCAAATCTTTATTAAAAGAAGATAGTGCCTGAGCTGTATTTTACAAGTGTAAAACTCTTTTTCTTTTTTAAAAACCACCCTTGGTGCTTGAAGAGTGCTCGCTAGTATTTAAAGAAATTTGTGTTCAATCACTGTTAAGATTATTCTTTCTTGCAAAGATTTGATCATTTCACGTCCTCACAGATTTCTTCAGCTCTGATTCTTTTATGGTGTCGGGCATTATGGTCCACGTTCCCCGAAGTCTTGGCTGACATCATGGATTTTAGCTCTCGTGTTTTCGTTCTATCTCTGATTACTTTTTAGCATTTTACTTACTTTTTAAGGGCTTTTTCAGGACTTTATGCGGTTTTTTTTTTTCAATCTGCCTTTTCTGAGTTGTTTAAACATCTACTGTTTAGTTGGTGATGCCTCCAAAAAACCTAACAGGGAACCTGATGAGCCATTAACCCTTTGCACCCAAATAAAGCCAAACTGGGGCTCCTCGTTTGTCTCCCACCAACACAGAGAAACCCGTGCTCCATCCACGTCCTGTGATGACCTAAACACAACGGCCCAGGCACAGGAGGGGAGCAGAGACTGTGTGGGGTGTGATGCACAGCAGAGTTCTTTCTGCCAATACTGGTGGGTTCGTTTTAGCCCCGAGCAAAAGCCTTGTGTACGTGTCAACTTGGCCAAACTCTAGCATCCGGTGAATCAAACGCTAATCTAGCTATCGCGTTGAAGATATTTGGTAGATGTGATTTTCACATCTACAATCAGTTGACTTGAAGTAAAGGAAATCACCCTCAGTAATGTGGGTGGGCCTCGTCCAATCAGTTGAAGTCCTTAAGAGCAAGAATTGAGGTTTCCTGGAGAAGAAACTTGGCCTCAAGTCTACGGTGTGGAAACCCTGCCTGGGTTCCCGGCCTGTGCTACGAATGTTGGATTTGCCAGTCTCTAGAATCACATGTGCCAGTTCCTTTAAATAAATCTCTCAGTCTCTGTGTATGCGTATCTCCTATTGGTTCAGTTTCTGTAACCTTGATACAAGAGTATCATGACATATTCAAAGCAAAAATGTTCGTGCAAAAGACAAGAGGTGAAGCACTGCAGACTCCTCTAGAAAAGTGGTATTTTGACAGCCAGAGTGGCTTTAGAGTAGAAATACCTGGGGAGACGCCCAGAGTCTGGAGATCGCAGACAGCCGCTTAGCCTCTCCAGTTCATCAGCCCAACGATGATAATCCCAACTGCCCACATTGTCCTTTTGTGTCCTGGACTGGAGTGTCCCAATGGCTTCCTCCACGGCCCTGGCACCGGGGCTGCCTGAGCACCCTCTCTCTCTCTCTACTCTTTCTCTGTGTCTGTCTCTCTGTCTCCCCTCCCCACCCCCACGCCAGCTGTCTCTCATCCTCCAGGGCCGTTTTATCTGTAGGAGGCGACTTCGCATGGCCAAGTTTCTCCCTCTTTAAACTCTGCACAGAATGTACCTTCTCCGCGAAGCCATTGTGAGATTGTTGCGTGACCTGCCCTGTGGCCCAGCAGCAGCACTGGGTGCCCAGCCGCTAAGCCCACCCAGTCGGGTTCTGCGCTTTCCCTCTGAGTCCCAGCTTCTCCTGGGCTCCCGGGCGCCAGTTCTGCCTGACCCTCTGCAGGTCGGCTTTGGAGCTGGCCGGTGCTCCAGATGGCCTCCCACAGCAGCCCTGCTTCCGTTGCAGGTTCTTCTCTTCACTGCCTTTGCAACGTCTGAAGTCTCCGCGACGTGTCCTGTAATCCTCCAGCCATCTTGCTGCCCTTGCCGCCCTGGGGAAGGATCCCATTCCCCTTTCTAGCCCCAGGGCAGTGTTTCTGCATCTCCCTGGTTTCCTGTAGTTTTGATCACCTGTGGCCGCCCATCTAGATGTTGCTCCTACTGTTTATTTTCTGCATGGGGAAGTGCTGGATTTCATCTGCTGTTTATCCCCTCTCTTCTCTTAACTGGGTGTGCCATTTTATATTCATTTGGATGGTGTCTATAGCGACATGCCGCGTACTTTGTCAGGCACAGTGGTGGGTAATGATGGAGCATGAAGAACACGGAGACCATGACGGAGCATAGGGAGCATGGTGGAGCATGAA